TTTGATCGATATGCAATGTGACTGCATTCTTTTGGTGGGGATCAGATTTGGTTAATTATGACATAGTGAGACGATTGTTTGATATGATTGGTGATGCGTGAGGGCCCAAATTGAGGTGACGAGGCAATGCGAGGACTGGGAAATAAATGAGGGCAATATCAAATTGTATGTAGTTGTTGATATATTTTGTCTATGCTTTGATATCGCATTCCGAAATCACCAAAATTCCAAAATGAATCTCTCAATCTCAATCTTAGAACATCAACACATATATATATACAACAGTACAAGTATAGAGTTTGCCACATCAGCCATTCGGAAGCCGTCCTTAATTTGAGGAAGGGTTTTAACGTCAATGAACACATTAATGTAGCCGCAGCAACAAATTAAATGGGCCGCTTAATTTGGGCTGCGTGAATGAAAATTTGACACAAACTTATGTTCATTTTAGTTTATTTAGGCTGGATATATGTGTTGTGGGTTATAAATAAATTTATAACTTGATTTTTACGGTAAAAGTTATATCTTTTAAGGCTGTGTGACTCCCGTTTTTCTCACTGAATCAACGTCAAACCAGTAAACCCAATGTGAACATAAGTATTACATACCATTGAGTTTTTTTATTAAGTTCCTGAAAAATGTGTACTAAATGTAATATATGAAGGATCATACAAACTGAAAAAATGAGACGACTCAAAAATAATATATGTTTGTCAAGTGCAGCAAATGCATAGCTTATCGGTCTCAATGCTGACATTTTGATGCATTAAATATATAACAATCTGTCACTTAAATGTCCTTGCTATACCACATAATTATTATTAATAGAAAAAACATATATTGGGATACGGGTAGGGCCTAAACCTATTAATCGTTTGGGGAACTCAGAGATTAATTATTCTACGATGGTAGAGCCTTGAGGTGGGACCAAGCTAGACCTTACAGCCTGTTTGGATACAATTCCATAAGAAATGAAAATGGATTTCCATTCCCAATTCTAACTTTTATGGAATTCCATTTCCAATATTTGTGTTTGGCATAATTCCAACAACTATGGAAATGAAGTGTACTCTTTAACAATCATTAATGATTTAGTAGATTTTTTTATCTTGAGAAATGAAATAAGGATGAGAGAGAAAGAGAGGAATAAGATAGTGGAATTATAAAATAATAATAAATATGAATGGGTCTCACTAATTCCATCTCCATAAACCCAATTCCTATCATTTTTTATAGGAATTCTAATTTCCAATATTTGGGTCAAATGGAATTCATTTCCCAACCTTCTTACCATTCCAAACATGAAATAATGAAAAAGAATTGAAAATGGCAATTCCTTAGTTTTTTGTCTATCCAAACAGGCTGTTAATACCACTCTATTGATTAGTTGCATTTCTCAATAAAATTGCAGCAAACTAAGTATGTGTTTGCTTCTTAGATTTTCACTTCGCTTATCAATTCAACGTGAAATTATCGATGTTCAACATAGTTGTTGTTATATGCATGGTTGTGTTATATGCTTTCAAACATCGGAGAAATATCTTAACCAATACTACTATGAAAACTACAAAACATCACCATAATAGCAACTTATAAGTAATAACTTAGGTTCTATAATTATCTTTACATAAACTCAACTTGATATCAATTTTTTTATGATTTAACATTGCATGAAGTGAAGGGTTATCCCATCACTAATCCTTAAATTAATATGCAGGTATATAGTTGATAAGCCACCCATGAATTTATGTTCAATATTAGAGAATTAAATAACTTTTGAGTTGGAAATTGACTAAAATGAAGAGTCGAGACTACTATATTAGAGTTCACAATCATAAGGCACATGCGCATATTGACGCTTCCATTCATGATTGTCAAACAACGATCATGACTGAGAAATAGAGGTGGAGAGGGTTTGAGAGAGGAGGGAGAAAAATGGAGTGTTGGTAAAAAGTATAAGATCGATAATTGTACATCTCCCAATAATTTAATATTATTGATAAACCAACCATCAATTTATGTTCACCATTAGAGCGTTAAATAACTTTTTGAGTGGTAGAGTAAATGAAGGGAATTTTGAATACAATCCTATAGTAAACTTAAGAGTTGAGATTACAATATTAGAGTTCGCCATGGGCGCACACGCATACTGACGGTACGTCCAGGGTTGTCAAACGACGATCATGAATGAGAAAGAGAGGTGGAGAGGGCTTGAGAGAGAGAAGGGAGAAGAATAGTGTGTTGGTAAATGATATAAGATCGATAATTGAACAACTCTAAATAACTCAACTTATTGAGGCTAATTGGTTCTAGACATGCAGAAGAGGAAGAGAGATATGGAGATGGAGAGGAGGAACTGGAAGAGCGTCAAAGAGAGAAATGGAAAGAGTGAATTGAGGGACGAGATCAGGTGGTTGTGAAAATTAGATAGAAAATTAGATAGAACTTTGAACTTGATTATATGTTGAATGAGAACATACAAATTATGCTTAGAAATATAAAGTATACTCCAAATATAAAAATCTTAAATTTCTATCTTACAATATTATTAGAGATGGAAAGTCATCAACCCTATCAATCAATAGTGATATCTACACCGTCGAATTCTCTATCCTTCTCCCATGAGAAAGGGAGCAGCCTAATTGTGCAAGCCATGAGGTTTTCAGCAATGGTCATGCTAACTAGGATGGCAATGGGTCGGATTTTGTCAAACCCAAACCCAAACTCATGGGTTTATCCGTCAAAAAAATCAGGGGTACAACCCAATGGGTTTGGAAAACTCAAACTCAACCCAACCCGCTGGGTATCCGCGGGTTCATGGGTACCCATGAATTTTTGTGGTAAAAAATTTACAATGACAAGTTCATATCAAAATAAAAGTCAAACACTAATTTCTCTAAACAAATTGTAAATTAGATTGGGGAAATTAGGGTAGATTTTGGAAAGAGTAGGAGAAGAAATAAGTGTGGGTGGGTATCTATGGGTAGGATATCTCTAAACCCAAACACAACCCAACCCGATGAAAATGTAACGAGTTTAAACCCAAACCAAACCCAAAACCCGTCAACATGGATTTTATCCACACTGATCGGATTGGGTTAGGTAAGATACCCATGGGTTCGGGTTTTGTTGTAATCCCTAATCACACTAATGCTTCCACTACTACTGCAAATTTTAAAAATATCCAACAATACAATTAAGAATTCACTTTTAATCTCTTTAGATAGTCAAATATGGAAAAGTAACTCATGAATTGAACTGATGTCTAATTGAATAATCAAACCCGACCAACGGGTCGGGCAAAGCTGCTAGTAGTTTAATATTCAACAACATCAAAATAATATCTTTCGTGTTGCTTTAGTGATACGTCCTAAATTTTGAGTGCATACAACTTGACGGTCGTTATTTTGAACATTTGATTCGTATCAAAATAATTCCAATCTTCAATTGCATAGCAATGAACAAGAAAATTTGCACTTACATGAAAATTATCTCCGATTTACTTGTACTTCATGTGTTTCTTAAACTTGCTTGATACAACTTCATAAATTCACCCAATAATCCATTCATATGAAAGTGGAACCGAAAGTGTACAATAGCTAGCACATCCAACCTTAGCCAACAAACAATCCTTGGTCTGAGAGGACATAGACCTTCACGCATTGGGCCCTCTGTTTCTTGGGCCTTCCTTTCCATCTCTTGAGTCTCAACTTTGGACCTTAGCTATGGGTTATCAAATAGATATTTGAATCGAGTTGAATCCTATTGAATACATTTTGGTTCGAACAAAAAAAAAAAAATTTGGATTGGAGCGAATCGAACCAAATGAACCAAATATATTTTTGGGTTGTTCTGGTCCTCGTTTCCCCCTTATTTCTGGCTCAATCCTATCTCAGTTCGATCTGATTCTGGACCGAATTGATTGATGTCCACCTTATGCCGACCTAGTTAAAATTTATTAAATTTTTCTCAAAACAGATTGTTACAGGACAATCCAAGTACCACATCGATAATACAAGGAAAAGGGAATCTTGTATATTAGTATCCACCTAGTCCAATTAGTACGATACATTTTGGGAAGGACATCCAAAAATAAATTCATGTAGACTTGACGCAAACAAACAATATCGAGTAATATTTGACCACCTCCAATTTGACATAGATAGATACCACCAATAAAAATCAGACAAAGGATCACCAAAGTGCAAACCAAGGCAAAATAATAAAAAGCTGGCAAAAGCAGCAAAGCATCGAGCTTTCTTCTTCATCTTCTTTAGCTAAGGAAAACAGTGGTAACCCTGAAAGAGAGAGAGAGAGAGAAAGGGGAAAAAGGAGCAAAATTTTCCAAGTTAAAGCTACCGCCCACCACCACCACTTCCATAATTCCCTGCTCCGCCACCACCACATTATATTGCCACTGACGGCGTTCCTGTGCCGGACACGCGTCCCCCGTTGGGACCCAAATGGAAAAAAGAGTTGGCCGGGCAAGGGTTCGGGTTAAGTTGATCGAGTTGGCCAATAAGAAGTCCAAGGATGACAATGGGGCGGTTTTTAGACGGAATTTTTTTTCTAAATTATCATCTCACTTGTGATTTCGGGGTATTCGCTCGAGTAATACCATCTTTATATATACTACATATATAGCATTTTGACATGTAGATCTTTAATTATAACACAGAGTGGACGATAGATCCTGAAATCCAATAAAGATCCGACCATTTTAATACGAGTTCAAAACATTCAATCATAAGAAAAAAAAGGTACAGTATTTTATCCAGACCATTCATCTACGACTCCGACACAGTCACTCGGCCATAATTTATACTAGTAATCAGCCCGCGCTCTGCTGCGGGATACATTTGACTTGTGTAATCTTCTGATACCATAACGCAGAGTCAGGGAGAACGCACACATGGAAATAAGTTTTCTACAACTGCACTCTGCGCTAGGACAAGTATTTCATTTAATAATTTTTAGCAATTGGGTAAATTTCGTATTCACGCCGACGTACGAAAGACATTAGAATTATTTAACCTAAGTAGTGAATTCAATAACAAAAACTACCTAAGCATAGTACCGATCCATTATTTACACACCATGACAAAGAGTGGTACTCTGCAATTGCTTGGACTGTAAATTGGTGATGTACTGAGAGCCGATGTGTTGATAACAATAATCAAATGACCAAAAAAAATGTCTTAGAACAATAATCGCTGTGAGCTTTACATGGCATTGGCAGGTGGCTAAGAAAAGCACACCACAATTGACAAAAGCGCAATCATCACGTACAGGCTAGGCTAGTGGATCGACGCACTGTTCTAGTTCTGGTAGTGATGAGTTTCCACGTCGACGCCTCACCTCTTCAATTTCAGAGGACTATGAAATAGGAATAAAGAGCTTGTATAGGTCTTTCTGATAGCCTCCCTGGTTTACAGAGTAGAGGGATTTAACAGCAAAGGGTAGCATAAAAAGAGAGGCATCAAATATAAAGTATAAATTATCAAAAAGACTAAACCGATCACCAACAAAGAATTCTCGAGATTTAATAGTGGATTCAACAGAGTTATGGTTCTTATGATTGTCTGCTCCCTTGAACTCATAAATCACACAAATGCATTGCACTCAGAGACTTAAAACTAAAAAATGCAGAACCCCTTCACATAAGCAAACAGTGGGCTTCGGAGCTCCATCGGTTTCTCAAAAAGAGATTGGGGAATTATGTGGTTATAAAAGGGGAACATGGATATGAGAGCTTAAGACTAAAAAACCTGGTGCATCTTTTCAGTTCTTTGTTGCCAAACCATCCACAGAGCAACGCAAACGAAGCACATGAGATACAGAAAGGAAGACCACACAACCAAACAACCCCAACTGAGATCCTAAAATTCAATTAAAGGCCTTAAATTATAACCAATAATTAATAGATATAACCAGTGAGCAAACTCACCGCTCAAATAAGATCAAACAGACTCTCATGTACTAATTGTTTGATCCATCCAAAGCCAGCATTGATTGTAGGTAGTCCTTCCCAGTGGATACTCGTCTGCAAAAAAAAGTAAAATTCCGAATGAATAATATCCCAAATTTGAGAGGTGGTGCCAATTGGACATTAAACCTAACTGTAGGATAGAAAGATTTTATCCCATAGGGGCTAAAATCTCTAAAATGGAGGAACAATACAAAAAGAGTTGAGCAAAAGAATTAGCAGCAAAGATAACCTTTGAAGCACCGGCAAAACATTGTCAAGATGCCAATTGGCCGAATCATGGACAGGTGCAGCCTTAATTATAGTGGCTCGAATGGCTGCAGCATAATACTCCCGCGTGTTCCAGAAGTAATCATCAGGCAATTCTTTAACTATAGAAACGTCATCTTTCAAGACATTAATAAAGTGATCCACATCAAATATATCCATGAATGAGCTTGCATTGCAGAGAAAGTTTGCAGCTTTTTCAGCAATAGTGCCCTTTTCTTGATATTTAATGAAATGGGGGTGGGGGAAACTGTAAAATCTGAAGCTGCAATCGCAAGCAATGGTTGCAATAAACCTCTCCTCTAAGCACACTAAATCTGCCAAAATCCACCACTTGATCTAACTGAAGTCCAATCAAATACCCTAGGTTGCTGGATACTCTCAAATAAAGTGCTTCATAACCTAACAACAAAGCAGTTGAATGCTCAAATCAGAGAAACTCAAGTAATAGATATAGCGGTACTGATCTATGTCAAGATTGAGGATAGGGATTTACATTCCGAAATCTGAACAATGGAGTTTGGAAAGGTCGAGATATATTGGTTCCCGGGAAGGTCACCGAGCCACAAAATCAATCACATGATTATCTGCAAAAGGCAACAACAAATACAACCATTAACTCAGTGGATTCCGCCAAAAACAAATAAAACGAAAGAAACAAAGGAGGAATAAAATAATGAATGCACAAAGGAAGTTTATTATATGATTTACAGGCCAAGAAAATCATAACAGCCAAAAACCTGTCCCTTTCCTGGGAAGATTAAAATCAACACATCACCCTGCCACCACTTTATTATAAATCTATCATCTTGAATACCAAGAATGTAGAATGTTTAATGCTCGCACTGACTTCGTCATAGTTGCATGGTTATGCAGCGAGACTTAACAGAGGAAATGAATGGACATCATCAACATGGAAGGGAAACTGAAACGCTTTAAACACAACAGTAGAGACTAATTGCATCGAGACCACAGTGACACTTCAAGGAACTCGTGACTAGAGGTTCTCCATGCAACTGTCAAGAGAACCAACAATGATCAACAGAAACAATTAACAGACAGGGAGAACTACTGTGGAGATTTCACTGAACATCTAACTTGATTGCTCGGTTTTAAAAAGATATCTTCCTCATTGGCTAGACCTAGAACTTGTGAAGTCATAAACCCCAACCCACAACCAACTCGGTAAGAATTCCAAACAAATGTAGGAAGACCCGCCGGAAGAGTAAATGAATGCAAATGTATAGATTGGAGAGGTAAAGAAAGGACGCTAGTGACAGCGATTTAGGAGAAAGCTTGAATCAGCGCCAAAGCTATCATGTGTGTCCATAATTGTAGCATCTGCCTCACCTGTCACACCAAAACAGACGATTATGCTCACAATCCGAAGTGCTTAGAAATTTGAAAGAAAAAGAGAGAAAATACAGATAAACACAGTACTGGACCGTTGATATACTATGCAAAAACAGCAAGCAAGAGTAATTGATCAGAGAAAAGAAGAATGGGATAACTAACTGGGGAGAATGAACTGAAAAGAGTGAGTCACCTATTGAGGCATTCCTCACTGAATCTGCGCCGTCGTGCATCCATTCATCTTCCACTACGTAGCTGACCTTACCGCCGATGACGCGGACCTCATTCCCATCTTGCTCCGACTTTGGGGTTTTCTTTAGCAGAGGAGTGCAGATGCTTACACGCCGATCAACTCTCATTTTTTGGAAAGGCTTGAGCCATCTTTTGAATTTCCTCTCCTCTTCAATTCCGGTGCTCGCAGGTGAGAATGGGAGAGAAACAACTTGATTAGAGCTTTCAACGGAGAAAAGTTTTGGGAGAATCAAACAACGAATCATGAACATAAAACAAACCCAGTTGAAAGAGCTAGAACAATCACCTTAAACCAAAACCCGAATCCACAAAGTAGTGATGGCGCAGGCAGAAAACTGTGAGCTAGATCCTCACGACAACTCGGGCCACCCAGAGCCTTCCCTGCATAACAAAAAAAAGAGCCAAAATCAAGACACGAAGGTCACGCAGGAATTAAACATGAACTAAGCGTAAAAAGCAATCCCCTAACCTACCAGCGAATCATCTAAAAAGCACCTGGCGCAAGAAAGTGTCCCTGCGACCAAAGCGAAGAGAGCAGAGATTAGAACTGCTACAACACAAAGAAATCGAGAGAGAGGAACCAGAAAAACAGAAGAGATAGTACCTGCGAGCGTCAATAATCTTCCGAAAATAAAGCTCAAGAGCCCTCGTAGATCTGGGTCTCTGCAAAACTTTCCCATTAGTGTAAAATCCGCCCATTGACCACACCAAGCCCAGTCCATCTCCGAGGCGAATAGATAAGAAACACCAGAGAAAAGGGAAGAGAGAACACCAAACCCAGTCTCTTCTCTCGAACCACTCCCACCACTTCTGCAACACAAAAAAAGAAAGAAACGAAACAAAACGAAAGGCTAGAGATCAAGAGCTCACCGAAAGATCCCATGATTTCCTCGACTTCAGCTGGTCGCTTGCTAGGCAAAGGCGCAGAGATTCACCACCGGAGACAGGGATTCTCGTAACCAACGGGTTCCCGGCGATTGATTGGCTGCTGGCAACGACCATGGTGCTGAGATGAGAGAGAAGATGAAGAGATGAGATGCTGGAGGGATGTTGAAGAGAATTGAGACAGAAAGAGGAAAGAGCCATAACATAACATAAACGTTTAAGAGAACCTGCAGGTCTGTACATCAACATGCTCTTCTCAGGCAAACCCAAAACGGAGGATGATCATATCATCGCCGATATGCTCGATCGTCTCTGCTCGCACCTAAGAAATTGAGTGAAGAGAGGGAGAGAGAAGAGGGTAAGAAATATGAGAGAAAAACTTCTGTAAACTTTGATTGTTGTGTTTGCAAGAGGACTTCTTTTGTCATTGAAAACTGCGTCGGGGTTTAGTTGGCCACCAAGGAAAGAGACAACGAAGAAAACGTCTATGCTTCTCTCTCTTCTCTCGAACCACTCCCAGTCTCCTCTGCTCCTCTCTCTTTTCTCGAACCATCACCAAAATTTCCTGAATTGGCGGCAAAATAAACTCTCTCTCCAGCGCTCTGCACGAAGAACCCCTCCTCTCTGCCACCTCAACAACCACCCTCTTACTCTCTCCAGACCATCACATCCCAAATCAGGGTTAGCCCAGCAAGCGACGGGAGAAAAGAAGGTAGCATTGGAGGCCGACGCGTGATCGACGCTATCCCCAACACAACACAACGAAGTCCAAGAAAAGGGGTCCACCGCAGGCGAATAACCAATCAGATCTGGGTGAATAGTAAAATTGAGTCTTTATGACCAGTAAAAGGTGTCTTGAGCTACAGTGATCGGCGTTAGTGGAAATAATTTCTCTTAATAACTAACATTATTGTTAAAAGGGAGAAAGAAGTGAAGGTTTGAAGGAAGAATTGGTGAAAAAGACATTAAAGTTTGATTTGAGTAATCACTCAATTACATTTCTAACTCTTATTACATTTTTTTAATTAACCTTCTATTCATTGTCAAGTTCATAATTTGATCTCTCTTTTTATATATATGCAGAAACATTCTTTATAGGACGACCTGACTGGTATAAGGGGTATGGATATGGCCGTATGGGATGGTGAAACCTAAAACCATACCCGTCTCATATTCTTCATCGATCAAACATTTGATGACAATACCCCACAGTATACAATTAGTACATAAATTTCTCGCGCCGACTGAATCGAGTGCGATCAGATACCTACGATTACGGGTTTGATTGTCATTCCTAAAGAAGACGGTCGGGACCGAGGAGAGAGAAAGAAAGAACATGGAGCAATGCCACATCAGTGTAGTCAAAGAAAGTGGGTAACGTGGTGGTGGCTGTTACGTTAGCACTTAGCAATAGCAAGCACTAGTGGCAGAAAGGAGGGAGAGAGGGAACATGGTTATGTTTAGAGGTTAGGGAAAAGAAGGGGACGAGCTAGCTAGTGGTTCTGCATGTTGTCTTGGGAGTGTGTATCTACCAAATCAGGAGTAGTGTGCAATTATATGGTTTCCCTTGACGTGTCGTTTTAGAGTTGAAAAGTATGATCGATAATTGACACTCTTGCATGCTTTTACTAACTAGTTTATCCAATTATAATCCGAGTTGTTGGAGATTGAAAGAAAGATGATTAGGTTTAATCATCTTATAAGCCCCAACTCATTGGACTGATGTTTGTGCATGTCTATAAATTTTGTGCAGTAATGATAATGGGGCGGGGTGGGGGCGGGTACTTCAATATTTATACTCGTTTTACATCAAATGTGGGTCAGGTCTGTTAGAATTTGCGTGGGTACGGGGCGCAATGAGGGCGGAAAAGTTAAACTGCTCATAGGGTCTTTTGTGAGTAGATACTCACTGACCCATGAGCCGAGAGGAGAGAGAAAAAGGCCACTTTTTGGGCAAGCCGATAATTTGGGCGGAGGAAGTGGGCGGGTTTTGGGCGGCCCGAAATTTTGGACGGAAGGTGGGCAGCTTTTTGGGTGGCCCAAAATTTTGGGCGGGAAGTTGGAGAAGGAAGGAATAATTTGGGTATGGTGGGGGCGGCCCGAAATTTTGGGCGGGAAGTTGAATATGAAGGAACAATTAGGGTCTGGTGGCTTGCAGCCTAGTAAGGGCTGCCCGCCGAGGGCCCATGGGCCGAAGGCTCATAAAACAATTTTTTGGGCCGATATTGACATGACCTGACAGGATATGTTTTTGTAAAAGGACGAATATTGGTATGACATTATGAGATACTAGTCTGGGTTTTACAGATATTTGTTGACATGTGTTGGCATAATATCAATTCCTAATTCCCTTAAGTTTTTTTACACTCGTTCAGTTATGCATTGTCATTAATTTTTTGGGCCGATATTGACATGACCTGACAGGATATGTTTTTGTAAAAGGACGAATATTGGTATGACATTATGAGATACTAGTCTGGGTTTTACAGATATTTGTTGACATGTGTTGGCATAATATCAATTCCTAATTCCCTTAAGTTTTTTTTACACTCGTTCAGTTATGTATTGTCATTAATAGTTGTCTTGTGCAGGGATGTTTGTAGGTTTTCGTCGTCGATGGTGTTCCTTATGGTTGAGAGATCAATTCGCGGTCGGGATGTTGACTACGCAAGCCAGCGAGTCGTGCAATGCACAAGTGCGACTTTTATTGAAAATGATTTGGACTTGTTTTTCATTCACTTTAGCAGGTACGCAAAATATTTCTTTGCCTTTCTTTGATATTAGTCTACTTAAATTTTGGATATTTGTCAGCGTTGTCCGGATATTTATATGCTATTGTTAAATATTACTTTGTTTAGTTGAGATATTAATATTGGTTTGAGTGGATATTAGTCTGGGCACTAAACTCTTTCTCGTGCTTTGTAAATGTAGTTTGTTGGCTGAAAAAAGACGCAAGGAGACTGAGTCAGACTACAATGGGAAACAATCGGTTCCTTATATTATGATGGAGGATAGCCCGTTCCTACAACATGCGGCAAAGGTCTTTACTCCTAACATCTTCAATCGGATACAAAATCAGTATTTGAAAACTGAACCCTATCTAAAGGTCTTTACTCCTTGTGCACGTACTTGCGCTGCGACTTCAGCATCTTCTTCTTCCTCATCCTCCTCTGGTTGTAGCGGTGGTGACGGCGGTGGATTTCGTCGATGTCTCTTCACGTTCGTTTTATCCCTGCACGTACAAATATCTAGATATATCAAACAATTATCCAAACAATTCACAACAGATATCATGCTGGTTAAAAACCAATATCCAGATATATCAAACAATTATCCAGGGAAATCACAACTGATATCATGCTGACCAAAAACCAATATCCAGATATATCAAACAATTATCCAAACAATTCACAACAGATATCATGCTGGTTAAAAACCAATATCCAGATATATCAAACAATTATCCAGGGAAATCACAACTGATATCATGCTGGTTAAAAACCAATATCCAGATATATCAAACAATTATCCAGGGAAATCACAACTGATATCATGCTGACCAAAAACCAATATCCAGATATATCAAACAATTGTCCAGGCAAGTCACAACCGATCAGTCACAAATGATATCATGCTGATCAAAAACCAATATTCAGATATATCAAACAATTATCCAGGCAAGTTACAAATGATATCATGCTGATAAAAACCAATATCCAGATATATCAAACAATTATCCAGGCAAGTCAGAACTCATATCATGTTGATTAAAAACCAATATCCAGATATATCAAACAATTATCCAGGCAAGTCAGAACTCATATCATGCTGAGTAAAAACCAATATCCAGATATATCAAAGAAACAATCCAAGCAAAATACAATGGATATCCATAATCAAAATAAATAATATCGGAACGCACAAAAAACAGATTATAACATGTATAAGAGATTTAGAGTGCACCATTGATAAATCTCTGCACATACAAATACCCAGATCCTATCAAACAACTATCCAAGAAAGTCATAACTGATATCATGCTCAAAGAAAACCAATATCAAGATACATTAAACAACAACCCAGGCAAAAAACAACGGATATCCAGAAGGAACAGAATGCATATCTTGCCGAACAGAACTAATATCGGAAGGAACACAAAGCAAATCCACAAAACCCAGAAATAACACCCACAGAAGAACGAACTCATATCCAGTGACATATA